TTTCTCGCCATGTTTAGCACGCGATGATATCGCTCGTAGCAAATGTCAAAATAAACTTTTTCCTTCTTTTTAAATAGCGTTGCTCAAGACATAGCGAAATGCTACCGAAAAAGTTGGCTACCAATGCAGATTTGTCTTTATACCTTTGGTCATATTCTACCCTTCAAATCTAGAGCTTTGCGTAGAAAATTGGTTCAATCTCCCTTTGGTAACATCTCTAAATGATTTGAATCACAATTCGCTTACTCGCAAAGATAAATCTTGGGTTTTGTACAAACATCTACGCGCGACTGATTCCCTCTAGATTTCTTATCCGTATGATTATCTCTACTCTATCGTCTTTTACGATAGAAAAACGCGATTAATAGTGTTACGTTATTAAATATAAATAACACAGAGCTTGAAAACCCTTAAACACTATCTATCGTTAAGCATAGCGTTTATAGTTTAGCACAGCTGTGAGCAATGGTTCTTTGGAATGGCACTGTGTATCTGAAAAAAAAATGAGAGAAACGTACACATTTAGAGAGTTTCCGTATCAATTGTCCTTTACAATCTATAGCAATTATTTTAATAGTCTCAGATTTACACATAATTTTTAAAAGTTTTCAATTATTTTTCATAACCTATAACAATTTTAGACATCGTTTCAAATTTACGTATAAGAGAAAGTTTCTCTATCAATCATCTTTCATAATTTATAGCAACTATTCTAGTATCTCTCTTGTCAACAGTTTTATTTAATATGTAGTAAACACAGTTTCAGATTTACGCATAAATTTAGAAAGTTTCTGTATCAATTATCCTTCATATCTTCATAATCTGTAACGACTTTAATACATCGTTTCAGACTTATGCATACATTTAGAGAGTTCCTTTATCAATCATCTTTCATAATCTCTAGCAGCTATTTTAGTACAGTCTCAGATTTACGTACAAATTTAGAAAGTTTCTTATCAATTATCCTTCATAATCTCCAACAACTACTTTGGTACACCGTTTAAACTCACGCATACATTTAGAGAGTTCTCTTGTAAATCATCTTTCCAAATTCACATTAACTACTCATACATCGTCTGACATTTACAATTTAGAGTCATAACTTTAGAAAATTTTCTTATTACAAATTTAGAGAGCTCTCTTATAAACAGTCTTATTTAATCTGCAATTACTTTAGTGTAAAATCCCAGGTTTACATAAATTTATAGAGATTCTCTTGTCAATCGTTTTTCATAATCCGTAGCAATTATTTTAATACATCTCATATTTATGTATACATTTAGAAAGTACCCTTACGAATTAGTTTTTATAATCTGTAACAATTATTTTAGTACATCGTTTTAGATGTATGCATAAATTTAGAAAGTTCTCTTGTCAATTATTTCATGATTCTCATAATTCTCAGCAATTTACTTTAATACTTCATCTAAAATTTATAAATTTAGAAAGCTCTCTTATACTCATTTTTACCAATGCAGTTTAATTTTAATCTCGATTCAAATAATTCTTCATCTTTTTCTGATTCTAAGAATTAGAAAAAAGAATAAGTTGAATCGAGATTAAATTTAATCTACATTAATAGAAACAAGCTTTGCAGTCTCAATAGTCCTCATATAATCTATTAATTCACATAATCTAGTAATTAGCAATTACTTTAGTATTAAATCTCAAATTTTACGTACAAATTTAAAGAGTTCACTTATTAATTCCCTAATCCACAGCAATTAATTTAATACATCATCTCAGATTTATGCTTAAGTTTAGAGTTGTCTTATCAATTATCTTTCATAATCTGTAATAACTACTTTAGTATAAAATCTTAAGTTTTACGTATACAAATTTAAAGAGTTCACTTACTAATTACCCTTTTCTAATTCAAAGCAATTATTTTAGCGCAGTGTCTCAGATTTGTGCACAAGTTTAGAGAGTTCTCTTATCAATTATCTTTCATAATCTGTAACAACTACTTTAGTATATCGTCTCAGATTTATGCTCCGCCGTAATGTACCTCTTAAAATACATCTATGAATCATACATTGCGCTGAAAGAGCTATTCACAATAGCTCGGTTTCATGCTAATTGCATCAATAGGCATCGACAATGGATACAATTGTGAGAAAACCAGATGTCCATTTATAATATAAGAATAAATCAGTTCTTTTCCAATCAATAGCAACAAATAAACCGCGATCGAAACTCTTCACTTCCGAGGAATCAAACGGTACGCGAAATATTCTCGATGTTCTGTTCCCTTCTGGATTACCACGTTCCGCTCTTTACTCGTCGAAATAAGAACTCCGTTTTTCCGTAGTTGCGGAATACGTTCGCGTGCGTTAGCCGGCTCTCGTTCTACCTGTACTTTTTCCCACACTTTTCGCAGGTTTGGAGTACGAAGCTGACTTACACTCGACGTCTGGTGGAAGCGAGAGAGAAAACGAGCGGGGTGCAGAGAGTGCAATTAGGACGAACGAATTTAATAGATTTCTTCATCCCACGTTCATGTTTTATCACACCTTTTAATCTCGGTTTAACTTTTTTTCACTTTTTTTCATCTCTCTCTCTCTTCAACTAAAAAAATTAGAAAAAGGATAAATCAAATCGAAGGTAAAAATCAACATTGGTAAAAATGGACGTCAGTGTATCACGTTACACTTTCCGCATTCTGAAACGGGACAAGTAGACTCTCTCCCTCGGCACTTGGAAAAGAGAAAGAGAGGGAGAGAGCAAAAACTGATGGAAAGTGCAACTAAAGAAAGACGTCTCTGATGAAAGCGTGCGAAAGTTCCGTGCGCGATCTGGCAGGTTCTTTCTTTTTAAATCGCGTTGTGCCCGTTTCATTAATGTAGATTAACTTTAATCTCACTTCTCTTTCATCAGTCCAACTTTAACCCCTAATTCTTAGAATTAGAAAAAGATAAAGAATTAATTGAATCGAGATTAAATTAAACTGCACTAGAAATGGGCATTACGCCGCTTTTTTTGCGCCCCACGTGAAGAGGAGGAGCGCGCGATCCCAGCGTCGGACCAGTAACTCGACTTCGGGGTAGCAAGGGGGACTGAGAGACTCCGAGTGCGTAGGAGGGTGCAAATGGAAACGAACGAATCCTCTGTCCGCGAGATCTCGCAGTTGCAACCGACGATTCTCGTCTACTCCAGCGTGTCTCAATGACAGATTTCAGATCGATATACACTGTATACAACTGACGACGACGATGACGAAGTTACCGTCTCTCCCCCGAGGACATCATTCGGGAGGGGGAAGGGAAGCGACGAGGTAGAAGACGCAAGACGCTCGCCGTTTCCGTCGTCGTCGTCGTCGTCGTCATTGTTGTCGCTGCGTTTCGCAGGATGTAAAACACGACGAAGTGAGGACACGATGAGGGCTACCTGAGTAATAAGGGGGAAGCGCACAAGGGCTGTCTCCTCAGGGGGGGGCGCTGACTCGATCCACCGTCAACGGAACCCGGCCGTACAGGCGCGTGGTCGCACTCGTCGTCGTTGTAGTTATCGTCGTCGCCGGGATCCTGAGGACGATCTCGCTCCTTGGCGACTGTATATCGTCCGGCTCGGTGCGACTCGGCGCAGCGCGGCACGACACGACAAGACACGGAGTTTGACGTTGCGACGTGACGTTACTTTCACCGTTGACACGACCCGCGACCTCGAAACGTCGCTACCACTAGGCACGCGCGGCACCGCGACGCATCGACGCAGCGACACGGCTGTGCACGTCTCCCCGAGACTCCCGAGAGCGGCGCGAAATCCCAGGTGTGTAAATAACTTCACGTCAAACACCGAGTGTCGCCCCGTAGAGGAGCCATCTTGCTGGGTGGGCACGCATCGGCGGCCGCCGATGTTTTCCGCCTGGGCAGTACGGTCGTCAGTGGTCAAGCCTGGATACATTTTAGGGGGCATTCCTCCCTCCCCTCTTCCCCTTTACCCCGGAAGTAGAAAAGAGAAGGTGAAATATTATCACCTAGTTATCAATAAATAATTTATAATATAATTAATAGTAATTTTGTAAGTAATTTTCTTTAAGTTATAAATAATAATAATTCTGTATTACCGTCATCTATATATTTTAATTATTGGAATATATTACATTTTGTTTACAGTATTTATTGTATTGTCTAATCCAAAATATAAATCTCAAATAAATTGGAGTGTAAAATGAAAAATATGTTGGTTTGAATATTTTATTCACTAATAAAATTAAATTTCCAAAATAATTATTTATTATCATTATGTTAGAGATTATATATATATATATTAAAAGTTAATATTTATATTTAACAATTTTACAGTTTGAGTAACATTTATTCTAATTATTTTTCAAGTGCAATGTAGAAAAATCTATTATCTTTACATAATTTTTTCGTTAAAAAAATTAATGTAATACGTCCTTAATTGTAAAACCGAATTTAGTCGAAGTAGCCTAAAATATTGACCGCAGCGATGCACAAGATGAGACGCGGGGGCACCGTGAACGTAGCTACGAACCTGAACGCGCGCAGTCGCACGAAGTGCCGTCTGGCGGCCGATTCGGGTGATGTCGCGCGTGCCGTGCATTCGAAAAATGGCCGACAGCGGGGATGGTGTGAACAGTACGTCGTCCGGGAAAGAAGCGAGAGGCACGCTTTCCGATGGCCCGGTCACCGATCCAGCATCCAGTATGAAGGTAAATCGAGCCGGTCTTCAATCTAACTTAAAATCTTGTGCTGTCCCACACGCTCCGAGCGACGTTCGCGTCAATTTGACAGCTGTATGCCACAACTGTCGTATTTGCCGCCGTTCTCACGACAAAGTCGATCGGTGAACAAGGCTAGAACGCGCGTTTAACACCATCGTCGACAATTAATTTCTGCATCGAATATCGCCCTGCAAAAATGAAAAATTTCTATGTTCGTCTCTTTTTCTCCCTCTTATTTACGTTGGTTTCTTCGTATTTTTCTTTCATTCTCTGTCTCTGTCTCTCTCTCTTTCTCTCTCTCTCTCTTCCCCTGTGTGTCTCCTCTTTTTCTTCTACCCTGTTCGTCTCTGTCATTCTCATTATCAGCTCCTCACCTGTATTTCTTTCGTCTCGCCCAATCCTTTGAAGTCTTGTGACCACATGTGGCTCTTACGTAATTGGACACATGGCATTAATTGTCATCTCGTTCATTGATGAATGGGCGTTGGTTAAGAGCTGTCTATATTTGCCTATCCGGGATATTTGGCAGCTGTGGTTGGAAGAAATTTCCTCTTACTCCTTTTCATATTTTTTTTATTTTTATTTATTTAATAAATTATTGGATTGAATCACTTAAGGACACTTAATTAATTTTATCTAGGACAAAAATAAACAATGATCTAACAGAAGCTTGCTTAATATGCAAGAACATGATCGAACCTATTCAGGGTTATTCGATCTTAATGCACCAGAATAACACTCTATGTTCTCTTTCTCTAGGCAAAATATCTTTAACAGTTGTTCCAGGCACATGTAACAAATTGTTATTATCTTTTCCACTAATTGAAGAAATATATAGAGAGAAAGAGCAACTCTTGAGAAGTGAATGCATGCGGTTATGGATAGTGCCCATGACTTGGCATTTACTGTGCTTATATTATTTTACACATATAGAGCATTATTCACACAGTAGTCCGTAGGTTCGGTACCAATCACTCATGCATCGCTCGTAAGCCTAGATACACCATTTAGGCGTGGCACAATCAGCACCACGTGAATTGTATCGAGTGCAAACAAAATGATCGACGAATAATTAATGGGGATAGCATAATTCATGAAACAGCTTCTAATTGTTCAAATTGTCTGAGTATGTTCCAACTGATCCGATGTACAAAATTGTAAATAGAAAAAATTTAGAAACAAATGTTTTATCTAATTCTCTATAAGGATGATTCAAAAGTTTATTGTCAAAGTTAAAAAGTGTACAGAGAGATTGAAATAGAATAATTTTCTAATGATTATTTCATTGATGCGTTGTTTGAGTCTCCTTCAAAAATTATATTAGATAAGATAAGAGATGAGTTGAACTTTTTTGCTTGATTTTTCCAGTTTTTTCTTATAGGAAGAAAAGAAAGAAATATGAACTGTGCAAGAAGTTCAGTTTAAAAGAACAGATTTATAAATTCAAGATTATTTTGGATAACATGGATTTGTGTGAAAGTTATTTTATTCTTCTATATGTTCCTTAACTTTGATAGTAATCTTTTAATTCACTCTGTACATTCATAGAGTACTTTATAATTTTCATCTCATAATGATCAATCATTATGCTGATTTGTGATTTGTGAAATCGTTTTACTCGATATAAAAGAATTGTGCAAGATACGGAAATAAAATGCGAAGAATTGAGTGCTGTCGTAAAAATATCTTACGCACAAGTATGAAAATCTTTGGGAGCTTTGTACCAAACTACGGACTGTATTGCGGACACTTTGATGCATTTGAATGATGAAATGGTGGTTGTTGTGATTTCAGAGCCTAGAGGCATCAAATAATGCCTTTCACGGCGCGAGAACAAAATTAGTAAGTAAGAATATATATGTGTATAAAAAACACACAGTAAATCTGTACTCCTAATGCCATAGAATGATCCTTGCTATTTCCTTGCAGGGCTGCCTTAACTTTTCCGCCATATAAATGTGTGTGCTGATCAGATTTGCCGTTCTCGCTTATCGATTAGATAACACAGACTAATGGGACGATTAGCAAACGTAATTAGAGCTTCTCTTGCTTTATCATTATTTTTCGCTCCAAGAGAGCAAATAATCCTACTTGAGACATTGTTGAAATTTCATCATGCATAATGACGTGAAGAGATAAAGTAATATTTTTTTAACAGATTAATCGTCTTTATTGATCTGTGCACATTCAGCACAACAAACTAGCTTCATGCGCACTCTTTCAGTTTGTAATTTCTCTCAATGCATTTCGCAGCCCCTTAGAAAAGAGACTCGTTCGTGACCTATTGAACTTGACTGTACTTTTCAAATTCTAGGATTCCAAGTCTGGAGCATTGAAGAAATCCAGTCGCTATCGAAGCCGCTCTTTGTCAGCTAGCAGCACCGACAGTTACAGTTCTGGTACGAATGATCTAGACATGTAGCAAAATATTATAATTGTAGAACTCTGTGTTTTGCTTGTCAAAGGAAGAAACATTTTGTAGCTTACTTCTGTATTAATATCATATTATCCTCTTCTAACATCAGTTTGTACTTTAATCGCAAGCACCAACGTTTAAAACGTTACATATGTATCGCTCATAGATTTTATCATCATAATTGTTTAGAATTAGCAATCGTCCTAATAACACGGACTTAGCAATTGCATTAGTCACTACGTTAGGATAATCTGCATCTGCACCTCAATGTGGTACTAATAATCGACGTTTTTCGGCACTTGGCGCTACCTTAGCCTCTTATACAGGAAGTTCGTCCGACGAGGATGACGTCTCACCGCGCGAGAAGATCCAGAAGACAGAGAAGGGCTTCACAGATTTCTGCGTGCGTAACATCAATCAGCAAGCCTTCGGCCGCAGAGAGATCGAGATCGCCGAACAGGAGATGCCGGGAATCATGGCATTGCGGAAACGCGCGGGGGACGATAAGGTATACGTCTCAAAGCATCGCTTTCTCTTTGATAACAACAAAGATCGTTAACGCTTGGATACTTTTTAAGGAGAATAAAAATTCAGTTTTTAGATAAATTCTCGTTCGATTGCGAGAGAAAGAGAAAAAAAATCTGACTAATATCTTTACATAGCCGTTGAAAAACGCCAAGATTGTGGGATGCACTCATATCAACGCGCAGACCGCCGTTCTGATTGAAACACTGGTGGAACTCGGCGCGCAAGTGCGATGGGCGGCGTGCAACATTTATTCCACACAGAACGAGGTAGCCGCGGCGTTGGCGTACGCCGGGTACCCGGTGTTTGCGTGGCGTGGCGAAACCGAGGAGGATTTCTGGTGGTGCATCGATAAATGCGTGGCGGCTGAAAATTGGCAGCCTAATATGATATTGGACGACGGCGGTGATGCTACTCACTTGATGCTCAAGAAATACAACGCCATGTTCAAAATGATTCAAGGTTTTATCCTATTCTATGCCTGGTGTTAACATTACAATTTATTGTAGCTTGTACGTTAGAGAAGATTCTTGACATCAGAAAGTCATAATTTAATAACAGTAATGATTAACAAAAATTAATATTCACTCGACCATAAATAATTCTCTTGATGTCTGATTTATGGATGAGTAAAATATTAGAAATATCTTTTATGAATATATTCTTTCAGGAATTGTCGAGGAGAGTGTCACAGGTGTACATAGATTATATCAGTTGTCAAAAGCAGGAAAATTGTCTGTTCCCGCGATGAATGTGAATGATAGTGTAACTAAAACGAAATTCGATAATCTCTATAGTTGCCGCGAGAGCATCATTGATAGGTGAGTTTATGTATATCGCCTTACTAAGGAGATCTCGAATGAGTTTAATCTAAATTTGATGCTTATTAGTTTTCAGCACTTATCGAATTTATTGCTTATAGTTTGAAAAGATCCACTGACATCATGTTTGGAGGGAAGCAAGTTGTGATATGCGGTTATGGAGAAGTCGGGAAGGGATGCTGTCAAGCTCTCAAAGGCTTAGGCTGCATCGTATATATTACCGAGATCGATCCCATATGCGCCTTGCAGGCCAGGTAAGGCGCGCTTGCCGAGCGATTAATTTCCACAACCAGATCGTTCGCTGAGTCGGATAGAAATCCTATACATATGTGTTGTCGCATTACAGCATGGACGGCTTCAGAGTGATGAAGCTCAATGAAGTCATTCGAAATGTAGACATTGTTATTACAGCGACGGGCAATAAAAATGTGGTCACGCGCGAGCACATGGACAAGATGAAGAATGGATGCGTCGTGTGCAACATGGGCCATAGCAACACGGAGATAGACGTCGTATGTCCCAATTTATCTTCTTTACCCGCGCGGTGTGCGATTACGCGACGGACAATTATAGCAATCCGATTTGCGAGCGATTGATTTGATATGATTTGCGCAAAGGAAGACTGAGGATTAAATCTCCTTAAATATTATTTTTAATAGAACAGTTTACGCACGCCCGATTTGACTTGGGAAAAAGTCAGATCGCAAGTGGACCATGTTATTTGGCCGGACGGTAAGCGCATCGTTCTGCTGGCAGAAGGTCGTTTAGTGAATCTGTCATGCTCGAGTATTCCATCCTTTGTGGTATCGATTACTGCCGCTACACAAGCGTTAGCCCTCATCGAACTGTTTAACGCGCCACCAGGACGATACAAGAGCGACGTTTATTTGCTGCCGAAGAAAATGGGTAAGTACACCTATAAATGCTAAAATGCAACCGTTTCTTTATATCATATACGTTAAGTGAAAAACGAAGGTTCATTGTTTCAAAGCAATTTTTATTCATTAAAATAATTAATTAATTTGAAATAATTAAAATAATTATGATTCTGATTTTATATTATTCTTTTCCTTATTTAGAACACTTTTTTAAGATACTTAATTTTTTATATTCAAGTATATCGTAAGACGATAAAAGTATGATATCGTAATGTTGATTTGTAGATGAATACGTAGCGTCACTACATTTACCTACTTTCGACGCACATCTGACGGAATTGACGGATGAACAAGCAAAGTATATGGGTCTTAATAAAGCGGGTCCGTTCAAGCCTAATTACTATCGGTTAGTATCAAGCTTCGGATTCTGGCACGAGTGTGACTGAGCAATCGTGTGTGTTTGTCTACCTGTGTTACCCACCTACTGTGGATCTGTTTCAGCTACTAAAAAACCATTGGACGAGTAATGTGGCATTGACTAGCACGTGCGACACTCACTCAGCATTACACACTTTCACAGTATTAAAAAAAAAAAAAGAAAAAACGAGCCACCCTTCCTTGACTTTGTGCCGAAGCTGGCTTTCTTTTTTCCACTGACATCTCTTTCGTAAAATCAATAAGAGACTTTTATTTATGGTTCAACCTTCGTAGAGAGATCCGCGCGACGTGATTCCGCTATGTTATCGCTAATCATCCGCAAGGAATGCGTTAATAATGTTATACTGAACACACTGATCCAACAAGTTACCCAATAATCGATATTAGAAACCACTACCAGGGCTGGACAAAATGCACTTGAGAAAACAAAAGTTCATTGTTTTTTGAACAACATATCAAAGACGTTTTTATTTTCTCTAACACGTGTACTTCTGTCTAGTCCTGGAATTTACATAACTGAATTTACATCCAACTAACTCTTGTAACAGTTTCTTTGTTAAAAATGCGCGAGTGTAGAACCTGCATTTGTCAAGTTAAACAAAGAGAGAAAGAGGAAAAAGAGAAGCTTTCTCTGAAAAGTTGCCAGATTGTACACGCCAGTAAACCCACATATGAAAAACCGTTGGTTGAATACTGTTGTAGATATAAATATAAAATGCGAGTCATGTATAGTTTGCAAACCGAAGAGGTAATTGAAATTGTATCTGTCCATTAGTTACTACCTGCAGTAAGTTATAGCATTATAGTTTGTAAATGATGCAAACATTTTAATATAGTAACGTGAAACTTATATACGTATGATATCTGTATAATGGATTTGCACAGGGTTTAAAAGAAAGACCGAGAGCATTAAAAGTTAAACAAGAGTATATTGTTTGACCAGTTCAATGCTTCCTTTCAGTCGAAAATTTTTTCACAGTTATAACATTGCGCCTTTCAATTTTTCTTTTAACGTCCCGCGCGAACGTTACACACAAATTCACATACGTATACAAGTTTGACGATTTCTTAGCGCGTGCAGATGATGCATGTTAGTCAATGATATTGTTATGTCCTTATAGTAACGAAAATTGTATGCGCGACGCGTTGCCCGCCATGAACGATGCATCATCCGCGACTATTTATACATCAGCCGTTTTCCGCAATTTCTGCGGAAATCAGCCGCGTTTCGCAGGCGACTAATGCAAAACTCGTGTACATAATTATTTAAGGAGGGAGGACCGACACACGAATTAAGACGATAAGCTCTATCGTGGATTACAGCCTGTTAATTTCTGGTTATCATTGTTACTCCCCCGTGCATGGCACGAGGAATGATTTGCGTATCCATACGTTTAGGAACAAAATAAACGCCTATCATTTAGAGAATTGATCTTTCAAATTATTCTTTTTTCAAACCATCCTCATCCTCTTAATAACGGTTGCGAGCTGAAACCGCTTCGCGTCGGTCCGCATTACGAGTTAAAACCGCTTCGCGTCAGTCCGTATTATCGACAACGTTAACCGAAAGCACAAGACACATATTGAATTTCATATTGCGTAAGAACGTGTCTCGATTCGTTGCAGTCCGTTCCAATAAAAATTCTCGAAACGAATCAGGGCGTGACTCGATTTCGCATCAGGATGGATCAACATCACCAGAAAAGCAATTAAAATAGGCTTGTTACGGAAATATTCGCAAACTGATGTTTAGTTTAGAGATGATGTGATCTGTGAACGGATAAGTGCATTCCACGTCTCCGTTATGAAACGAGAGAATAAATTGGGAAACAAAGTCGCGTGGCAAAACATAAATAA